TCACCGCTATAATTACGGAATTCTTGCGTTGAATCTCGAAATCGCAATATTCAGCCCACTGTTGCGCTCTTTCTTCCAGGCCGCAGTCCCACTCCTGAATGTTATTGTAATTCATTCAGTAAGCTCAGAGCAACTGAAACGCCGTTATCTGCATTTCCATCAATAAAAAAATTTTGGTATGGTGTATCTAACCAATTCATGCATGTTCGAACTTCTTGGCATAAGTCCGTTCGATTTCGCTCTTGCTTCACCGTTTGCTAACTGCGATCTAAGCCTATTGTGTTCCTTTAATACATACGATCGCATTTCTTCAGTAATTTTTGAAGCAGGACATTTCGATGCCATAAGTCCACCTTAATTTTCCTTTATTAAAAATTCCTTCTTCCATTCCAATTCCTTCTCGCTTAGTACGATAGCACGATTTTAGGAAAAAGATAATTGAGAAAAGTTGATTGCCGAAAGAAATTTTAAGAAATTTTAACGGGCTCACCGATTTGCAATAAAATAAATACCACTGCCAATAGCATATTGAAGCTCATCGACAGAATATTCTCCGAAAAAGATTTTTTGGATTTCGAAGCGATTTTCTCGTCTTATAAAGAATCTGAAACGTGAAAAATAGAAGGAAAATACACTCAGCCATACAGAAAGCGTTTACCGATGTTTTTTTATTTTTGGTTCCATCGCTTAAAAAAATAGTGTTTTCGATCTATTGGGTTGTTCTTGAAAACAATGGTTTCCCAACATTTCATGAAAAAAAAAAAAACGAGAGATTGGTTTTTAAAATTTTATTTACCAATTTTATTTAATAATTTCATTAAAATGTACAGAAATTCAGCAAGTGGAAGCAAGTGGAATTTTCGTTCGACTGTACGATTTATAATATTTTAATTTTTACTTTCAACTTAAATTTTAAATTTTTATATTAGCTTTAAACTTTTATTTTAATTATGTGAAACTGTCCATATTTTAGAATAAAATTATAAACTTATAGATAGTAAATAATTTATAAATAACAATTGAGGATATATTTCTGGATTCTAAGTAATGGGAACGAAATAAAAGTGAATCTGGATTCCTACCCATAAACTTTATGAACTTTCCTTGCAGTAACTTCATTCCCTAGCGAGAAGATTTTTATGTTGCATTCTGCTTGATCGCCAATTGCTCTTTCGCGTCTTTTCGGTCATCTCATGCATTTGTCACCAGCAAATAGGTTGTATCATCTTCAGATGGCATTATCAAATCCCCTTCGCCATATTATATTTTTAAATTATTCCAATTTGTAGAAAAATGGCGTTATAAGGACTTCAAATTTACGAAAAAATTCCTTTTTTTTCAATTCTCCTCCAATATTTTCCTGCAAAACTTTCTTTTTACATTAAAAAAATTTTTGTATAATATAAACAAATTTCGAATGCTACATATGATATCATCTATATCCATACATTTCCACTTTTTTCCTCATTCATGTGATATTAAATCATCGTTTTGATAATAAAATCAAGTTTTTTTAATAAATGGAAATTTGCGGACTTTAATTAAATTGAAAACCGCCTTTTGTTATTGTGCAAAATGAAATACTGCAAATAGTTCTATTGTTTTGCCTTAAAATTGGACATTCATGGGGCAAGAAGAATATTGCACAGTAATTTGCCCCACTAATTACCGCTTCAAAAGAATAAATTGCGCACATAGGTCTAAGAAAAGCGTAACTTCCATTATCAAAGAGGCATCAGAATTATGTTGGAGCCAATATAAAGTTTTTATTTTGGTATAGCCGAGTTAAATGAATGACGCTCGTATAAATTTGATTTTCTTTTTTAAGGAGCATGAAGATAAAGCTTTGTCAATCGCGTTTCTTACTACTATTGTCGTGAATTTATGCGGGGCTACAGATCTACTTGAAGGCACTCACTTTTTAGATTCCTGGAATAATTTTTAACTTTCATTTGCAGATGTAGGTTTAGCGCAATGAGTGAATTATTAACTCATCTTTAACGCATATTTCATATCATTTTTTGAAAAGAATAGGAATCTTGGATTCTCCAAATTTTGTTTAGGTTTTGTTAAAAATTAGTTCATAAATTGTAATTAAATATAAATCAAAAAATAATAATTAAAGCAACATTTGAACACGTCGCCATTTAACGTAGTATTTTCTTTTTTACTGTTTTGTGAAGCGATTTCCTTTTGTTTCTAAAATAAAATGTTGATTGTAATATATATCTTCTGCGACCATATATATGATGAAACCATTAGTCGGACGCCCTCAAACATGGATAAGCGAACATTTATATAAGAAATTCGAAAAAATTTGTGGGAATTGAGTGAATCAATGGCGAAATGAATTTTTCAGTGTTTAAAAGTGAATGATATCAGATGTGATATCCAAAATTTGTTTATATTGCATGAAACGAATTCGTCAGAGGAAGAAAAACAATTAGCAGTTATTTGCAAAAACATGAAATTTTTTCATTTATACAAATGTAAATGCAAAATTTCTGTATTCTTGTTTATTGCCACTATAATGTACTCTTCCGATAACTTGTGTAAAGTAGTGCAGAATCGAGAGAAGCGAATGATCATAAAAAATGCGTGAACCGATAGATATGAAGTAAAACCACTCACAAAAATAGCTGACGGAAATAATTTGACATTTGAAAGAGATATGTTCCCACAAATATGCTGAATGAAATTGCCGTAACCAAAACTCAAATTCATCAGTAGAAATCCATAAGCCATGTATTTAAATAGCGTTTTAATTGAATTTTTATATTTATCTATATTTAATGAACAATAACCTAAAAAAAATTTTGAAAATCCGAGGCTATTGGTCCTTTTGTTAGCAATAAACGATAAAAAAATTTTATCCATCAAAGATGATTTTATTATTCACTCAATGCGTTAATCCTGCATCTGCAATTATACCAATCAAAGTTGAAAATTATTCTAAAAGTCTATATATTCAGTGCATTAATATGGTAACGACAGAACCACCAATAGTTATAAATGTTTGAAGCGATGTTCCAACACCCTTCTTAAGGAGCATGTCCGCGTCTCCGTCTGAATCCAGCTTGGTTTGGGCGTATCCTCCTGTCCCGTACTACCCTCTAGCCATCAAGCCCATATGAGCCAGTTTGACCACATGACCACACGAACGCAATTCAAAAAGACACTATGGACAACATTAGAGGTTCTAAATGACTCCGATTTATCATAGAAAAAGCTCTAGATATCCCCATAGACCAATCTGTGCACAACTTGACTATAGGAATTCTGTGACTTTGCGTTCCACAGATGGATATCTGGCTCTGTGCGAAATCAACAGGATTCTAAAGATAATCAATAGAACTGTGGAAGACGACAGTTGAAGTCAACCTAAAAAACAACTTTCATTAGGGCCATCAAGTGCGGTATATATCAAGATGATGCATTTTCTTTCCTATAGGTTTAAGTTTCCTCAGTCAGAAAACCTCCAGAAGCGAATATAAATACAAATTCAAGAGTGACTACCATCAGAAATCTTCTCTACATGGAAGAAATGCGAATGTGAACGAGATATTGACTCGATAACCCATAGCGAAACTACAGCGAAGACATTGAGATGCTATTCGGATTAGAGAGATGTGGCTGGACGGCATATAAAAGAGGAAAACCAGTAATGATTAATGGGATGGATTTTGCATTAGGACATGTATAGGATATAGAGAGGATGGATTTTGCATTAGGACATGTAGAGGATATAGAGATAAACCACAAGTACCTTGATATCTCACAGTTCCACGTCAATCAAGACGAGAAGGCAAGGAAGTCTCCAACATCTAAGCATTATTATTGAAAAAATCCTTAATAGTCAGGTCCATAGGGAAAACAAATTCCATGCCATTACTAAGCATGTTATTACTAAGCATACTCTGCCAGTTAACTGCCATAGCAAGATGGAAAAGAGAAGACATGGATACTGCTGGAGTAAAGGCCAGGAACTCTTTATAATGCACGAAAATTTTCACCCTAAGTCCAATGCCCAAAGCCTGTACACCAGTCGGAAAGAAGGCGAATGGGGCTTATTGAGTATGAAAGGCACTAACTATTCTGAAGGAAATTTGAAGCATTCAGAAAATAAAGAATAGAGAAGAAAGAATAGAGAAAAAAAAGGGAAAAGATAGATAAAAAAAAAGATAGACAAATAGACAAGGTTTAAAAGGGAACTAGAGAAGACGTGGAAAGTAAAGGCCAAAAGTAATTCCAGCGACAATTGGAACTCTATGCTAAAAAAAATAGTTTCAGCAGATTCCACTAACAATATCAGAGATCTCTATCCAGAAGAGCATACTATTACGAAAGCCAAGATACTACGCATAATCCTCAATCTACCAGGTCTCAAATTAATCTTTTGCAGATGTAATACAAAGGATTGCTGAATTCAGTTTATTTTTATTATATTAAATGAAAATATTGAGAATAGAGAACTATAGAATTATAGTCTTTCACATAAGCCTTCCGATAGGCATTTTGACGGAGAATACGTCGTGCATTCCTTATCACTGCTGCATTTCCCACCTTCTTCATATATGGCGGTGCTCCACTGTTGTCCACTAAAATATATGTTTTTCTTATAAATAATGGGAAGATTCTTCCATCGCAAGTTCTATTAATGAGTCTCGAAAAACGAAACTATCATCACAAGCATAAGAAGAAAATTTATACACGTAATAAATCTTTACTTTGGATAGTAATTGCAAGTAACAAGTTGGAAGTAATAAGGGCGATGCTCAGCATATTCACAGAATGATACGGCACAGCCAACATCTGTTGTGCGTGCTGTGATTATCTGAAATATACAGGTAGGGAATAAAAATAATGAATAAAAAATGTTGCCCAGAATTTTTAATCTTTAACTCCTTCTGCTCGTTCAGAATTAGGCGTTCAGAAATGTGGCCACTTTTTAAAACCATCAAATTTTAATTTCCGCGCATTTGTTAGTAGCATTTTACAGTTTTTTCCATTTCTTGCTACAATTTTGCTATACGTGAAATCAAAGAATAGCAATGAAGAAAACTGAGCAAAACCTGCGCTAAATCTTCATTCAACGTTTCGAAATATTTGTCCATTGATAAACTTGTTTCTCCCATTGGTTTACTTTTTAACCACTCATCAACCGCCACTGATAACATATCATCTGCAAAAATTAGCAAAAAGCAAGTGAATCGACCCAATTACCCATTTTGCTGATGAAAAGCAGGTGATTTGTGGTAGGTGATGCCATGGCGTGGTCAAAGCTTATTATGAGCTTGGACAGTAAATAAAAGACAGAGAATATTCTCGCATACAGATATATTTTAAGGTCGAAAAGAAAGGCAATGACGATCGAAAGACGTCAGATCTGCCCTGCAACATTGGTGCTTATCGTATTAGATAACCAACCAGTTTTTTATTCCACCAACCATTTCCGTTTACAAGTGGGGCGATGGGGTAAAGGTTAAAAGTTAACCTTTTACCGCGTTATAAAAATCACGAGAAATCTTCTCGAATGGAGCTCACCAAAAGTAGTAGAATTAATGTCAACAGAAATTTCTTTATAATACAATTATAAAAAAATTGTGAAGATTTCCTCGATTAAAAGCCCACCTGTAGGATTGTTGTCAAGAGTCCATTTCGAAAACAAACTTTCACCAACACCATCGCCATAAAAATGTTTGTGGAAATACTCCGAGTGATCATATTTGCATTTCTCCACGTGTTTCTGAGCCAGCTTTTCCAACGTACAATTCCATCTCTTCAATTCCAATTAGAATAAAATGCAGCCAAAAAAAATCAGAATAGAAATCACCAACCACTGCCAATCACTGTATTGTTATAGATTATAAAATTCCTCTGAAAATTTGCAAACTTTTGTAAATAATAACCAGTTTGTACATCTCCTTGGCTGCTGGATACGTTCCATCTGATGTCGAGAACTGGCCCATAGCAACTTTCGTCCGAATGTCATTAAGCTTCTTCAAAATATTTTCTCGACCAGCCGAAGTAATCTTCGATGCAGAACATGAACTATCTGATGAAGAAACAAAATTTAGAGATGTGCTTTATGGAAATTCCAAAAAAAAATCATAAGATGACAATGTGGAGCAATTAGGTGAACGTTAAGACCCATGATAATTGTTTGTAAAAAGATAAATAAATAATTCGATTAATTAACGAAAATATTGTAAAGTGCGTTTTGATATTGCACCTATTTTTCCTACACCACTTTTTCGTATTCGAATTCTTTCTCACCAGGCTTTTCAATTTCCTCTGGCATTATCGTTTCATCTTCAGTGTGTTCTTCGTGTTCTTCGCTTGGCATTTCGGTTTCCTCATGGCTTATAAGTTCTTCTTCAGGCTCTTCGCTTGGAGTTTCATCATCATGAGTCGCTTCAGCGGGTTTATCACCAGCAGCACAAAGACCATTACCATTACATACTCTGCCATAATCCGGACACTTGCTACATGGTTCACCTTCTTCATAGATTGTCTTATCCCAGTTTCCTCTGAAATTCACATTTTATTCAATATTGAGACTTATTTGTTGATAAAAAATAAAAAATACCTTGGGCCATAATGGCAAACGACATGAACCATAAATGGGTATCCATTATTATTGTGGCATTTGGCCATTCCACAGCCAAGTTTGCTTGTGATTGCCCACGCCATCTTAAAAAAATCTAATAATCAGAATCATAACAATATAGTAAAAACTTTATAGCCTTTCTTTCTTGAATGTAATGTGCATAATATGTATAATATGTGTATAGTTTATCCTAATTTTATTGAAGAATCAAAGATTTAAGTGCCAGTAAAGTGGAACTATAAAAAATTTCTCGCAACTTTCTGAAAGGTAACCTGAGTAAAATGCAAAACACTTCCTGGAGTACCATCCATAGTAGAATGTGCTGGCATATCTTTTATTTCCTCCCACCACCATCCTTCTATCGCATCTTCGAATTGTTTTTTATCTAAAGAGAATTATTTAGTCGATAAGGCGTTTTAGCTTCAGATTAGAATCATTCATCAATTATTTTGGTTCTAATGATAATAGAGTCATTTAGTGATAACTTTTTTAAAAGGGTTCTTTTGTTATTATTGCACAAAATTTCTGCTTATTAGAAACAATATATTTTATACAACTGGAAGAGCAAAAAATTTAAATGAACGAATTATTTCGAAATAACAATTACCTAATTTCGGTTCTTCATATCCCCATCTGGCATACAAATTCTCACCGCTATAATTACGGAATTCTTGCGTTGAATGCTCGAAATCGCAATATTCAGCCCACTGTTGCGCTCTTTCTTCCAGGCCGCAGTCCCACTCCTGAATGTTATTGTAATTCATTCAGCTCAGAGCAACTGAAACGCCGTTATCTGCATTTCCGTCAATAAAAAAATTTTGATATGATTTATCTAACCAATTCATGCATGTTCGAACTTCTTGGCATAAGCCCGTTCGATGCTTCTGCTTCACCGTTTGCTAACTGCGATCTAAGCTTATTGTGTTCTTTTAATACATACGATCGCATTTCTTCAGTAATTTTTGAAGCAGGACATTTCGATGCCATAAGTCCACCTTAATTTTCCTTCATATTAAAAGTTCCTTTTTCCATTCCAATTCCTTCTCGCTTAGTACGATAGCACGATTTTAGGAAAAAGATAATTGAGAAAAGTTGATTGCCGAAAGAAATTTTAACGGACTTACCGAATTGGCATAAAATAAATACCACTGCCAGTAGCATATTGAAGCTCATCGACAGAATATTCTCCGAATAGGTTTTTTGGATTTCGAAGAGTGATTTTCTCGCCTTATAAAGAATCTGAAACGTGGAAAATAGAAATAAAATATACCCAAATATCAAAAATCGTTTAGTGAAGTTAGTTTTTGTTTCATTTTGGTTCATTCGTTAAAAAAGTTAGACCGTTGATATATTGTAAAAAGTTTTTTCTCTGGATATGATGGTTTTCAACATTCCGTTTAGCGAGTTTGCTTCTAAAAATTTTTAATAATGGATATAAAAATTTCTATTGTTTATTTGAATTTTAGAGGCATAATTTATTGAATGGACTTTAAATTATGGTAAAAACCATATTATTTTAAAATATTTTCAATATAATGAATATAATTTTTTATAATAAAATAATAATGGAATATAATAAATATTTTAATACAATGAAAGTGGTAAATGATAAACAGCAACTATTTGAATGATCAACGATTAATGATTGAATGATTATAAACACATTAAGAATTCCTGCTTATGGACTTCAATAAATTTCCCTATAAGTTACTTCGTTCCGTATTTTAGTGATAAGATTTTTGTGTTTCGAAATATTTCTTGATATCACATTATCATTTTAGGCCAGTCTTATTGGCGATTTTACTTATTCATGCATTTATCGTGCATTTATCGAGTGGGTTACATCATGCATTCAGATAGCATCAGCAAATATCTCTCTGGCCAATCTTCTATGTATTTCAGTATTCGAGTTCATTAAATTTCTTCATATTGTTAGAAATTCGATTTGCAGGCAATAGGCAGCATAGGAATGTTTACATTGATGAAAGAGTTTGGTTTCATTTTTTCTACATATGTCGTCAAGCTCATCTATAGAATTTTTTTCAAATTTCTTCCTTAATAATAAAATTATTTTTTATGTAATATAAAAAAAATTTGGATGTGGCACTTGATGTCGCTTGTATTCAAACATATTCAGTTTATTTCTTCATTGACTTTGCAATTGCTATAAGTTTTATTTTAATATGGATGAACGTTTTAATAAAGAAATATGAACAGAGAACACCGAATTGCTACATTGTAATAATTTCTAATCATAAATTTTGAGAAAAAAAAGAGGGTTTAAAATTTTTTCATTTCGATTCAATCCTCTCAGAAATCAGTGCAGAAATCAGCTCATGAGAAACTATTCCAATAAATTAATTGGTGAATTGCGTGGTGTAATTATTACCACATATCGATTTTCCTTATGGCAATTTTCCTATTGCAACTTTTTTGTGATAAGATTTTGATATTTCGTTAAGCTTTCATACTGCTTAATTCCATAAATTCCATTGAATCATTTAATTATTTTTGCAAATCATTTTGCTTTACACTATTGGCTTATGCTTTTCTGATGATCAAAAACAATGGTGCGTCTATGGCTCAATGGTTAGATAACTGTCATGAATCGAAGCTTTGTTTCGGATCCGCTGGATTCGCATCACTTTCAACACGCGACATTGTCGTATAGAGCAGAAAAGCAAAAGAGAGCAGAATAACTCAGTGCGTAATTGGTCATTTCGGAGCACCGATATTGAAATTCTACTCCGATAAAATGAATCTGTTCATAAGTCCGCCTATAGTTCGATCACCAAGGCTTCCTAGCATGTTTGTGTAGTGCGAAAAACCAGAGGAGCGAGTCAAACCAATAATGATGAATACTATAAAGAAAAAAAGAAAAAAGCAGAAAAAAACAGATCACATGCATCACATGTTATCTCCAGGTCTCTCTCAATAAGAGCACCATAGCAATTTTCTATTTACATTAATAAATTTTTTTTACAAAAAGTCAAATAATCTCATCGCTTAATTTTTTTCGTTTTTTTCAAATAACGTCATGACAACCTCCAATCCAACACCACAGTTTTAGTTGTTTTATTTCCAAGCAGTTTTTGCTTTTCTGATAAATAAGATTCAAATTAATAAAACCATATATAACATTTTGGTGGTATATTTTAGATATTTAGCAACTCCTCGTTCTGCCATCATTTATTTTTCCACTTTTTCATTTAAATATAAACTAAGAAGGGCACAAAGCCGTCAAATAGTGCATATAGCTCAACTGTGCTCAAGAAAATTTTGGGAAAGTCGAAATGTGGTCGAATAGATGTGTTCAGAATAAAACTCAATATAAGAAAAAAAATGCAAATGCAGCAAGCTCAAATTGCAATTTCATCATAGATGTTGTGAAATAAATAAAAGAATTTCTTTTAAAATTGGAGGCTGATGAGATAAGAACATCGCGTGGTTTCGGTAGCCAAGATTTTTCGCGAAGAAATTAGAAAATAGATATAGGCGCAAAAAAATATGCCTTTAATTTATTGCTTCTGGAAACGTTAAAATTCGTATTGGAACCATGGTTATAAGCAGATTTCAATTTGTTATCATCGAAACATAGATCGTGATCACATAGGCTTAACTTCGATTAATAACCGAAGAGCTTGGGATTAACTGCTTTGATAGCTCAAGTTCATTCATCCGCGTGTGTTACCAGTATTTTTATGAATTTATACAAGGCTGAAGGATTTATCATATGCTCTCTTTGAATATGCTCTCCAGAGACCAAATTTTTCAGGAATAATGAATTCTCAAATTATTGAATTTTGTCTAAGGTATGCTCATTTTCAATTTATTAAAATTTATTTGAGTGGTAAGTTTAACAAAACTAGAAATAATGGCTAAAACACTATTTAACTGTATCACTTTTGGATTTCTATCGATGAATTTGATAATTTGGGCTACGACGATTTTATTCCGCATTTTAGTAAGATTTTTGTGTTCAAATAGTTTCCATGTTTTTTTCACACTAGTGAGCTGATTAGTCAGTTTTTTACGAACCGTTTGGCATCATATCTATCGGTTTCTGCGTTCCTTCAAGATCAGTACTTTATGCGCCAAATAGTGTTCAGTTTAGTTATTAAGACGATTTGAATATTTTTTTTCATGTATTTTTCAAACTCTTTTCTCTGGCTATTCCTCTAAACATTCTAATATTTGAGTAAATGATCTTATAAAATTCTTCATGTTGATTGAGTTTATTTTAATATACACTTTACAAGCAATAAGTAAGAATTATAAAATTATATATTTGCATTATATTCACATTATAAGGGATAAAATGGCTCAGTGAGTTGTTACTCAATCGAGAGCGCCGATGTTGAGGTTCGATTCCCTGCGGGAGTGAACCTGTACAAAAGTTCGAGTGATGCTGGCGACTCACCGTTATTTCTATCGGCATGTTGCCCAATGCGACAAACGAGTGAAGCGAGTTTAACCAGTAATGGTGAAATTTCTTAAAAAAAAAAAATATATTTACATTAAATATATTTAATGAAAAGTTTTATTTATTCTTGCAAATAATCTCCTCATGATAATTTTTTTCGTTTTTCTTCGAACAAAAATGTTTTTACAATATTTTTTTCGAATGAAAATGAAAATATACATGTAAAATAAATAAAGTTTGAATCGATATCATTTATAAATTCAATATTTTTATAAAAAGCTAATAATTTTATTACAAATATCGGAGCCAAGAACATTGAAGCTGATAAATTATATATTTGTTGCGTTTCGGTAACACTTGGGGGAGCTGAGCGAGCTCAATTAGCTTCTTTGTTATTTCTAAATCAAATTATGTTCTCCAGAATAATTTTCATTTAACTTAAAGCTTACAACTAAAATTTATTTGCAATATTCAGTTCTGTCTATAAGACGATTTGTATGTTTCAAATATTGAAATGGTCACTTTTTGGTTTATACTAATTCAAATTGTTATTGCAATATCATACCACTATATTTATTATTTTCTTCATGGCGATTGAACCATTTCTGCCTATCAGATGTCTTGTAATAATATTTATCTTCTTTTGCATATCTATAGAGTTTAGAATACTCTTTTCACGTGCTACGGTACAAGTAGATTTTTATGAGTAAATTTTCGTTATATTAAGACAAATTAAAATTTTTGAAAATATTTAGAAAATTTTTAAAAAATTTTTAATTTTTAAAAGTTAGAAAATCGTGAAATAGAGATCACTTTTTCAAGCTACATTGAATTAATCAGCTATTTTCACTGTTATTATGATTACATCTTCTGATATCTTCTGGCATTTGTTAAATTTGGTCATTGCATGCCAAATCAGTAATAGTAAAATATATCATAACATTTTGCACTGGTGAATCATAATCTGAAATTCTCGAAGCATTAACTGAATTATTTCTATTTCAATGATACTCTGACCGAAAAGGATGTTCAATGCCAGACTTTGCTTAAGACAAATCATCAGCTGATATACCACTCATATCCAAGGAACCAAAAATTAATGTTTCACCTCGATTTACTAGCATTTAATTTAATTTATTTTGAAAAATCTCTTTATTTACAAGAAAAAAATTGCTGATAGCAGTGCTATAGAAAGTGCTAAAGTTTTGCTTCGTTCGATTTTTTTCAAGGAGGTTCTCCGTACAAAATACGCTGATTTCATTGGTAATAAATTTTAATATGGAATTGAATAAAATTGAATAAATTATCAAATTAATAAGGTGTAAAGTAAATATCGATGTAAATAAATAATTAGGCATTCTTCAGAATCATATAATGCCAATATCAGCAGATCAGACAATATCAGCAAATTCAATAAACCTCGTTCTCTGATCATTTTCGATACATTTTCGTATTGGATTTGTAAATCCTATTAAATCGTTGCTGGTTCAATTCATTCGCAACATACATTTTGTAGGCAAAAAACAAATTTTATATTCACATTAATGAGAAAATTTCATACGTT